CCCTCAAATGCTTAAACAGTCACAAAAAGATAAATACGGTATGATTCCACTTGTATGAGGTACCCGTCGTCACATTCGTAGAGACAGACAATCGAATGGCGGTTGCCATGGGCCAGGGGTGGGGGGATGGGGAATTGATGTTCAACGGCTATAGAGTTTCAGTTGTGCAAATGAAGAGAGTTCTAGATATCAGTTGCCCAACAACATGAATGTACTGAACACAACCAAACTTGACATTTCAAAATGGCTAAGATGGTAAATTTTATGTTATGTGTATTTTACCACAGTAAAAATTGTCTTTTAATTTTTAAAAATTTAAAGTAGTCTCAGGTTGGTAATGCCCCCTGACTGCCTATAAGAAACAAACATAGCAAACAAACAAAAGGCCAGGAAAAGACCCTCCAACCCAGGATTTGTAATAATTTCCAAAGAATCTAAGATCACAGTAATATTTTACAAGGAAATAATGAATGAGGGCCAGAAGAACCAACAAACTATACACTCAGAATGAAAAGACAGTGAGAATTAGATTTATTAAGTGCAAGGTTAACATTGTATGCTTAATTTTTTTTTTAAAGATGAAGCTGTAAGCATGTTGAAGGAAAAAGAAATTATCAAAATTAACCAAGGAGATTTGAAAAGTAACCAAATAGAACTTACAGAAGAAAAAAAAAAAAACTATAGTTCTTAATATTATACACCAAATCGATAGACTAAGCAGCAGATTGATTCTACTGGAGAGAGAAGGAGTAAATAGCAAGATGGAACTGAAGAAATTACAGCTCAAAGATGCAAATGGATGGAAGTATGAAGTGCAGGTATTAAGATCCTACCTATATCAACTTACAGTGTACAATGTAAATAATCTGGAAATATGGGTGAAGCAATATTTGAAGAGACAATGGCTGAGATTTTCCAGAAACAATGAAAAATACCCTTCTACTGAGGAATTCCAAGCATACAAAATAAAAAAGAAATTCACACTGAGATAGATCGTAGGGAAAATACAGAATACCAGAGAAAAAGATGCTAAAAGTCATCAGAAAAAAAAAAAGACAGGTTACTTCAAAGGAAGCACAATTACTTTGAGCTGATATAACAGCAATAATACATGTCAGATAAAAATGGAAAGGGCTTGGAAAGAATAACTTTTAAATAGAATTATCTATTCTAATTCACTATTATAAATTATCTATTATATTAAATGATCTCTTATGAATGAAGGAATAAATGCATTTGCAGACACATGAAATCTAAGCATTTATTACCAAAACAGACCCTCAGTAAAGGAACTTCAAATGATGTACCTCAGGAAATAAGTAATAATTTAAGGATAAAGGTCTGAGATGTAAGAGGAAATGATAAGCCAAGAAGAAAAAGCAAAAAAGTTAATCTAAATCTACATTAACCATGTTTTTTAATAATAAAATAACCTCTTATCACTGGGATTAAAAAAAATCAAGTAGGGAATTCCCTGGTGGTCCAGTGGTTAGGACTCCATGCTTTCACTGCCAAGGGCCTGGGTTCGGTCCCGGGTCGAGGAACTAGGATCCCACAAGCCATGCAGTGTGACCAAAAAAAAAAAATCAGGTAGACCCCACATCCTGGAAAATGTAGCCTATGACTTAGATGGTGAGTAACTGAGGTTTCTAAAGTTCTTGTATTACTAGGAAGGAAGGAAGGTAAAATTGTTACTAAATTTGTGTGTGTGTGTGTGTGTGTGTGTGTGTGTGTGTGTGGTACGCGGGCCTCTCACCCCTGTGGCGCCTCTCATTGCGGAGCACAGGCTCCGGACGCGCAGGCTCAGCGGCCATGGCTCACGGGCCGAGCCGCTCCACGGCATGTGGGATCCTCCCGGACCGGGGCACGAACCCGTGTCCCCTGCATCGGCAGGCGGACTCTCAACCACCGGGCCACCAGGGAAGCCCTGTTTACTATATTTTAAAATGTTTAAATTTGATGTGTTAAATATACATGTTAAGTTTTCTACTGTAACTACTAATAGGATATAAATCATACACATACCTTCCAGAGAAGTAAAGAGGAAAAATAGAATATGGAGGTGAAAAAAAAAAACCAATAAAAAGAAATCAAGCAATTTTAACAATAACTATGACAATAAAAATGAAATAAGCATATCAGTAAACATAGTCAATGCAAATAAACTGAATTTAGCATATAACAAAAGAGAATGACTGGGTAAAACTCCAAACCCAGCCATATGCTTTTTATACAAGACACATGTAAATTATAAAGACAAACACAAGAAGACTGGTACAGTCACATTAACATCAGATAAAACAGCTTTTAAAACACTAGTACTGGGCTTCCCTGCTGGTGCAGTGGTTAAGAATGCACCTGCCAATACAGGGGACACGGGTTTGAGCCCTGGTCCGGGAATATCCCACATGCCGCGGAGCAACTAAGCCTGTGTGCCACAGCTACTGAGCCTGTGCTCTAGAGCCCGCGAGCCACAACTGCTGAGCCTGTGTGCCAAACTACTGAAGCTCACGTGCCTAGAGTCCTCGCTCTGCAAGAAGAGAAGCCACCGCAATGAGAAGCCCGCGCACCTCAACGAAGAGTAGCCCCCGCTCACCGCAACTAGAGAAAGCTCACGTGCAGCAATGAAGACCCAACGCAGCCAAAAATAAATAGAATAAATTTATTTAAAATAAAATAAAATAAAATAAAACACTAGTACTTACACTGCGAGATAAAGCAGCTCCATAAATGTTGATATAAGTTTCAATTCATCAGGAAGATATAATAATTTGTATGCATGTGATAACATAGCTTCAAAATACATGAAGCGAAAACTGAAATATGTACAATCAGAAACTAAAAATCCACCATGAGAGATTTTAACATACTTCTCATAGTAACCAATAGATCAAGCAGTCAAAAAATCAGTAGAAATATAGAATATTTGAACACCACGATTAACAACTGTAGTCTAAGGGGCATATAGAGAGGATTTACATAATAACAGCAGAATGCAATGTTTTCAAGAACTTAATAAATATTTTAAAATTCTTAAAATATATATTATCTATACTCTTTTGTATGCCTGATATACTTCACACTGTTTAAAAAGAATCAAAAATCATCCTTATTGATTAAAGGTGCTACATATATTCCATATCATACAAAAGTATATTATCAAATACATTATTTTAAATTCAAATGAAGCTACCCAAGATTGCATAGCAAATGGTAGAGGCAAGATTTAAAAGCACATGTCTCTGGGTCCAAAGATTCTATTCTTCACACTGCGATGCACTACCTCTGTGACCAGTATCCAGAAACATCCCTCTGTTTTATCAGTACAACCAGAAGATTTCTGAAGATAGCCAAGTATTGATCTCAATAGCAACGCAGCTGCCAGGACAACTGCCTTTACCCTGAGGTCCCTCAGGTTCCCCGTTAACACTGGCTTCTTTGTTCTGCCACAATTATAATATGTTTTATTTTTTTTTCTGCACAGGATTTTATAGTATTTTTATTAAGATGAAGCATTTTACCAATACATTCTGTAGGAGCATTCGTTTATTAAATAACAGACTGTCAGGTCTGATGATCAGGATTTATCAGTCTGCTAATATGGCGGTATTCCACTTTGCAAGATAGAATTAATTGTAACGTATTATCAGTCTCATCGGTACTGTGTTAATTCTTTCATCAATTCAATGTAAAGGCCCATGTCTAGCCTTTGCAGCATTGTTAGGCTTCTTCATACAAATAACTGCAGCCAACGTCTGTTTTTTTTTTTTTTTTTTTTTTTTTTTTGCTGTATGTGGGCCTCTCACTGCTGTGGCCTCTCCCGTTGCGGAGCATAGGTTCTGGACGCGCAGACTCAGCGGCCATGGCTCACGGGCCCAGCCGCTCCGCGGCATGTGGGATCTTCCCGGACCAGGGCACGAACCCGCATCCCCTGCATCGGCAGGCGGACTCCCAACCACTGCGCCACCAGGGAAGCGCCAACGTCTGTTTATATAGTCAGTTATTTTCCTGAGCCCTACGGGTCTAATACAATATGAGGGGGTTGAGTGGTGGACCTCAGAAAGACATGTCCATGTTCCAGCCCTCTGAATCTCTGAAAGTGACCCTATTTGGAAAAAGAGTCTTTGCAGACACAATTGCGTTAAGGATCTTGAGATGAGATCATTCTGGATGATCTGGGTGGGCACTAAGTCTAATGACAAGTGTCCTCATAAGAAGCAAAAGAGGAGACACAGACAAGCAGAAGGAGGCCATGTGAAGACAGGAGAAATTGAAGTTAGGCTACAAGCCAAGGAAAGCCTGGAACAACCAGACACTAGAAGAGGCAAGGGACCCTCCCTCCTCCTGTAGATCCCTGGAGGAAGTGCAGCCCTGCCAACACCTTGATTCCAGACTTCTGGCCTCCAGAGCTGTCAGAGAATACATTTCTATTGTTTGAGGCCTCCCAGTTTCTTATAATTCGTTACAGAAGCCATAAGAAACTAAGACATAATACCACCAAACAAATAATATACATATTACTATTATTTTTTTAGCCGTGCATTTTCCAAAATTAACATGATTCAAACCACCAGTCACAACAACACACCTCAACATTTCTATGTGTGTTTATTCTCGGGGTGAAAGCCATCCCTTCCCTTTATATTTGCAGATAAATTTATCACTCTTAACTACTGGCAAATACTGAGCATGTGAAATTAGCACCAACTGTGACATCACACCCTGAGACAAAGTGGGGACACCAACTGTGAAGCATTATGAAGGATTAAGTAAATGAAAAGAGATGCCTTATGCAAAATACCTAGGATACTGACACAGGGTAGGGACACAAAAATGGCATTGGTGATTTTTTATTAACGTCTATGGTAAAACTTTATAAATACTATCTTCCAAGTAGTTAGTAGTTTTTTTCTAGTGCTTTATTGATCTGATGATTTTATTTATTTGATCATTCATGAATCTTGTGATGGTTCGCACTAATTGGTAGATGGTCTGCTTACCTATCAAGGTGTGACATAACTGTTTTGGAGGTGTCTGCTCCAGCTTCCTGCAGCACTCGGATAATCTGAAATGATGCACTTCGATTCCTTCCCGGGTGAATAATAACAGGACAGCCAAGCTGAGCCTGAGCGTGAGCTATTGCCTGTAGAACCTTTCTTTCACTCTCAGTCAGAGGCCAGGAGCAACCAGTTTCCCCAATAATGTCACACTTGACACTGGTTCCATCAGCTCCATGGAGAATTTCATTAACAAGGACATCAGCAAGCTAAGGAAGAGAATGAAAATCGATAGACTGGATTTTATCAACATAGAGTCACCACAGTATGTGAATGAATTTAGTCATTCAGTCACTCATTCTTTTAAAAATGTATCCAACGTTCATTCAGTTAGTATTGGTCAATGAGAAAGGCATTTTACTGACCAAATCTCAAATTCAGCAAGTTACTGTAAAAGAATTTGAAAAAGAATCGATAAATGTATGTGTACAACTGAATCACCTTGCTGTACACCTGAAACTAACACAATGTTGTTAATCAACTCTACTCCAACATAAAGTTAAAAAAAAATTTTTAATCAAAAAAACAAGTTACTCTAAATCAAAGAGTCCATAGTAACTTACTGTGATTATTTACCAAGAAATTCATGGCTTTAGGAGGCTGCAGGGGAAAAAGTGACTTAATGAGAGTACATTCATTGTACATTCGTTCATTGAGATAAAAATCTGTATTTTAACCTAAGGGGCATCCAGAATGTAAAAAGACTGCCTCTGAATCTATGTCAACTGTAGCAAGTAATTCTTTAATTTTCTCTTATTCATTCTGTCCTTTATCCTATACAGCAAAGCAAATTCACAGCACACACAATAATACTTATATTGAGTGGTTAGAAGAATGTGTAATCCCTGATATCAGGATAGTCTTCAAATAATATAAATGTGTAAAAGGGAAAGGCCTGACTGGAAATAAAATGCAGATAAAACTTTGAAATATTAAGTATTTTAAAGATTAACTGACTCTTTGCAAAGACTGCAGCTGACATTCTATGCCTATGAAACAGGCAATGGAAGATACATATAAATATATACATATATGTGTAAACACACATCTAAATGTATATCATACGTATATATAAAAGGAGAGCACACACACATACAAAAAAGCTTCGTGGCTTATCCTTGCTTTTTGTCCCTGAAAGATTTACTTTTCCTTCTACCCATTCTTGCTTAAGATCATATTATGACAAAAACAGGAAAATGGATTTTCTTCTACCCCTCCTGGTTTGTAAAAGGAGAAGTAAACATATTCGCAACCGTGCCGAGTCTCTGCCTGCCAGGTTTCACCCGACAGTGAATTTTTATTGCTGGTTATTATAAAATCCAGAAAGAAAATTGAGGTTGCATAACTGAAGCTTCTAATGGAAAACTGAGGTTTACACACAGACTGTGCCACCGCTACTGCGCACCGTGATATACATGAATCTAAGTATTAACCCATTGGGTCTTCTGGTGACCAGTGCATTAAGATCTCCTTCCTGGATGCTTTTTCTTTATGAAATGAAATGTTCCTAATTTAGGTCCCATTGACAGATGCCTTTGCTAGCTAGCAAATTTCTACAGCATGCCTCTGAGCTAGTGACATTTCCAAATGTAGATGACACGTAGGGATAACCCACGGTCTGAAGCTCTGATGATTCTGAATTTACACGCAAATATTGTCCAAGAAATTAGGGCTTTTTACCTGCTCCACTGACATGGCTCTGGTCTCTGAAGAGTGAGTTGCATCCACATAAAACCCAGTTCCGGATGTTGATGTGGACGCCAGTCTCTTCTGCAAAATCCGCTTCAAGGTCTGCACATCTCAGCTGATCCTAGTGGTTGTGTTTTCCACCAAAGCTCCTCCACCTTTGGCTTTAAAATCCAACAATTCTTCCTTGATGGCTTCCGTGTCCTGATTCAACTGCAGATTCTCTCTATGGGAATAAGGGTTTTTCTGGATCCAAAATAAAGTTTTCATTGTAATAGGTTCATTGGAGATCACTTCACGGCACGGAGGAGGTGGGTAGTAAGAGCAGTCAAAAGTCATTGTCAAGTGTTCGTGGGTCAGGATGCGGCCCAGTTCGCTTGGCCCCGCAAGGCCCAGAACAGTTTGGACTTTCCCACTTAAGGAAGACATTTCTGATGGGACCAGGAGATGCTCTAAAAAGAGTGTTTTCTGGAGAAAAGAAAACTGTAATCAGAAAATTTAACACACACATAAATTCTGTCCATAGGGGATGTGAGGCTGTGAACGTATACCAGTATAAGAGAGAGAATCAATGAGACTAGAGACACGATCTCACTTATCATCCTGCCAAAGTCAGAGGCTGCTGCTTGTAAATTGCTTAAGTTCACTGCAGCTCTAAGTGACATGCGTGGCGTTAAATGTCCCCCAACCACTTCCACTGGGACTCCTCTGCCTGATTTAATCCCAAACTCATCTACTGGAAGTATCTCTTGATATTCAGTTCACATTTTTCTTTTGCTTAATTTTACCTCATTAGTCATAGCTATGCTGCCTTGGATAATTCAAAAATAATCTCCATTAAAAAAAAAACTTCATAATCAATAACTTGTCTCAGAAGCAGCCATGTATCAGAACTGTTTCATTTGTCATTTTTCAGCTAAATTAAATTTACTGAAGCTACTGATCATTCCATGACTCATTCACTATCCACGTGAACAAATTTCCCTTGAAGGTCCACCATGTAGAAATTGGATATATAAAGAGAAATACGACAGAAATCTCTGACTATGACGATTTCACAGATTATTCCCCCCAAAACAGCTGGAGGGACTACATCTAGGTTTAATAATGGAAAAGAAAAACAAACCTCTCCATTCTAGATGTTTTATTTTGCCTAGGGCACACCTCAGAAATACACTTCAAAAATACTGAAAAGCAAAAATTCTTAGGCGTAATGAGCGACTGTGAGTTACTGAAACTGAAGTCTGTTGTCTCTAAAAAGAGCAAATACCTCTCTCTGTTTATCCTCTGTTTCCGTTCATTTGTGACACAAGTTAAGTGTGCACCAAGTTTCTGTCAGTGACAGCAAGGACCCGATTCCAATGCTTTTCATTTCCTAAATGAAGGGATTTGGCTTGGAAAGAAAAAAGACGACCCTGCAAGTGGTGAAGGTACATAGTCAAGGGCAAAACCATGGCCAGAGACAGTATCCCACTGGAGCACCAACCAGCCACACCCAGACGGACGGTGGAAAACAGTCTGCTGGGAACTGAGTAAAACAGTATCTTTTGAAGCTCTCACATTGTTCCTTTTTTTTTTTTCCTCCTCTCCCCTCTTTTTGATTGTGGTAAGATATATATAGCATACAATTTGCCATTTTAACAATTTTTAAATGTACAATTCATTGGCATTAATTACATTCACAATGTTATGCAACCATCACCAGTATCTGTTTCCAAAACATTTTTCATCACTCCAGACAGAAACTCTGTAAACATTAAGCAATGATTCGCCATTCTCTCTTTCCCCAAGGCTCTGGTAACTACCAATTTACTTTCTGTCCCTATGAATTTACTTACCTCTTTTAGATATTTCATTAAATATTTGTTCTTTCACGTTGTTCCTTTAAAAGACATTCTGAGACCATTTTCCGCCTTTGATGGGGGAGGCACATCCCTCTGATGGCCTTCTGTGACTTTCTGAGAATCAGTTTTCCCATCTGTAAATTAGAACAACAATGCACATTTCATAGGCTGCCATAGGAATTAAATTACATAGCACAGGTAAAAAGACCTGTAAAAGTGTCTGGCACCCAGCACACACCTTCAAGAAAATAGTAGCTTTGTTATGCTCCTCTGGAAACTATTATATATGTCCTGGGTTATTTCTTTCTAGAGGAAGTGGTTGACTAGAGAAGCAATGGGTATAGCACAAGTTTGTAATGGGTGTAGCACATACATAAGACAAGGTGAAAATAAATCAAGGGTGGAGAAAGAGGAATACTGAGTTATGGGGCCACTTTACATCAAGCCATTACAATTATCTGGAATGCAGGTGTTTGATATATACTAGCGTGCAATGCATAAATGATTGATTTAGACTGTTTGACAGAGAACTTTAGGACTTGTGGCTAGCATGGCCATTAATTTTTGTTTGAGAGTGCTCGTCTGCAAGCCAGGCTTCCAAAAGCTAAATATTTCACGTGGCGGGCATAGCCGAAGACGATTGTATCTATTTAGAGAATCAATCTGTAGCTGCCAGTCACTACAGACAGCAATATTTTCCATTGATGATGTCTAGGGACTCACTGTTCGATGCCCTATTCCTTGTTACTGTAGCTAGTTCTGAAATCAAAGTACCATTAATAATAGACTCAATATCCCATATGGGTTCATTTGTTCTTTCCCTCCTTCTGGCTGATGGCCTCACTGATGTGTTCCTGGAGAATCGCCAGGGGCCAGAAACTTGGATAAACTGACAAAACACTATCACTTTTACTAGAAAAGCACCACACTGCATATTTAATGGATATAGATTTGAAAGAGCAATGTTGGTAAGTTTCAAACTCACAAGCTGCGAGTCTTTGTGAGAAAAACATCACCTAGGAAATGTCATCTCCTCTGGGAAATTCCTCTAACACTCTCAGGCACAGCTAGTTGGTGCTTTCTGTGATCATATACAATGTAACCCACACTTAGATAAAAGATTAAAGAACAAACTATAGCCAACACCACTCTAGGCTAGAATGTATCTTTTAGCGGATTAAAATATGCAGGTAGATTTCCTAGTGCCTCTGCAGTGAGGGAGCCCTTTTGGGTCTATATTCACCCTGAAACTTGTTCTCTTCTCAGTAGCCGGGCAAGGGGCTATTAATGGCCCTCCTCCATAGAGAGAGTGCACAGAATACAGACAGTAAGTGGGCAGTGAAAGCTGCAGTGCACAACTGTGCAAACAGGAGTGACCCCCCCCCCCCCCG